GTGTTCTATGATTAAATTTAATACAAATATAACTTTTATTTTTAGTGAATAAACAGGACAATTGCAACATGTCTATCAGCAGCTGCTTATTTTCCAAAGCAGAACTTGCATTGAATTGTTCTTTATTCTGATACCGCCTCAGTGGGCTTGTGGTAGTGTGTTCACCTCTAGAGCGGGAGGTCATCGGTTTGAATCGCAGCCGGGTCACACTTAAGACTTTAAAATTGGTACTTGCTGCTTCTCCAATAAGCACACGGCATTAAGGAGTAAGAGCAAAGACTGGTCAACTTGGAGTCAGAATAATGTGTCCTGGTACGGTGACATGTCTTTCTGCTGACTGTTACCGTGTGAACTAGCACGTAAAAAATCCGGCTCAGCATGTCGGTCTAGTACAAAGCAGGGTTAATATTTATATTACATGAACATGTTCTTGTCCTGAATATGCATATTAATTTGCCGCTGGACGTTAAGCTGTCATCCATCATCATCATCATCTATATTCTGATAGTGTATTGACCTCTATATGTCTTTTGCTTGTTTCGTTTGCTTTTGGGTTGCTGTCCCCATTAAAAAATTACCCCACATCTCATTTTATTCATATATGTTGAACATATGCAATAGATTAAGTTCTTTTGTTCACTTGACCAGATGAGGGAGTAGTCTTCAATTTTTTTTTAACCTTAAATATATAGTTCAGTTTGCATTGCCTAAGTTACAGATCCATAAATTCTCATAACAATGTAATATGCTTTTTATTTGTATCTTTCGTCAGCAAAAAATATTAAACTCTTGTTGTTGATGCATGTCATTAGCAACAAAATTAGAAAATACTTCCAGTATTTAAAATTTGATTGCAAATTTGGGAATAACACCGAATTAGTACAAGAATTCATTACAGAAACTCATTTCCATTGCAGACATATAGTCGCAGATAGATGCTACTGATTGTCAAAATGTAGTGTTGTAAATATAATAGCTGGTTTTATCTGATGTTTTTTAATACTCAATTTTTTCTTTCTTGGAAAAATGAATTGCAGTTAGGTAATTTTACACCATCAGATGAAATTATAATTTTTTACAGAGGATGACCTTGAGGTCACTCCGATGTTTTGCTATCGCCTAAATTTCCATTATGCAAATTAGTTTTGGGATTTCAACCGATCTATAAAAGTTATAGATCCGCGGTCATTACAAGGGAAAAAAGTGCATTTTTATACCTGCGATTCCGTTCTCCGTTCGTACGATGTTTCATCAAAAAATGGAATCATTTCATTTGTTGATTTAGTACTGAAAATTTGACTGAATTATCTCCTTATTAAATACGGTTTTATATGTTTAATAGGTGTTTAAGAAAGAGTCAGGTGCTCATGTTCATTCATAAAATTATCGTTCATTCATGAATTTATCGTAAAATCAAAATCACTACACAGGGTCACACAGGTTGTATACGTAGTCAAATGATTACCTGTATAGTATCTAAAAATAGACAAACTTAACTGACTCCCCTTACTGTAGTGTGTGATAACATTTTGTGAGGGAATTCGATGTTTGCTATACCACTGTTCATTTCAACGCACTTTATGACGATACCACTTTATCAATATGAATGAAATTTTTTGCAGTGTTTTAAGAAATAATTTTACTTTAAAATCGCGTATCATTTGTGAACTATTAAATGTTTTACAAGGACGAATTTTCTGTATAAAGTCAATAATTGTGTGAACTTTTGAAGCCCAAACTTTTTATAGCCTTAAATACGCTAATGAAAGATCCGAAAACTATACCCATACAGAACGACATATTTTTGAAATTGTAGCAAAACTTTTGGTTGACAAATTTTAATTCGTTATAATTGCATAAATATTAACTTGAAATATCTGTCATTTTCTCCCTACCCAGTTTACCTCTATTACTCATTATGATGTGGACTTGACATTGTTATTGAATCTTATGCAATTTGATTGGATTAAGTTATTATTAGATTACCTTCAAACTGTTCATGCTTTTTCGTACGAGTATATTGATTAAATCAGAGCGTGCATGAATGTGTACAGAAAATTAAATGACCTGCAAACTGGACACTGGACCAGTCCATATTATGTTTTATCAATGAATAGATTTTTTTTTTATTTCCCAAATTACAGGGCCCATAAAGGGCATAAAATCAGATACAATTGATTTACATTATTGGTAACAACAACAATAATAGCGGCATACAAATAGATATTTAGTATATAAGCATTGGTCAGAATCAGATGAATGAAACTTAAGGTATGAAACGTAACAATTGCCACTTTTTATCTTTTCACATAATTTTCCACATACACATTAGATAAATTATTTTTGATAGCCTATTGCGGAGAAAAAAAGAGAAAGTTTACTGTATTAACGTTCTATTCCATTAAATACGCCATTTTTCGAAGATAAATGCAGAATAACATTTATGCACGGCTACGCCAGGTAAAATTGTTGTTTATCCTAAAAAAAAAATACAATTTTCAGTTTCATTAGAATATTATAATAATAATAAATCCCAAATTTATGTAGTCATTAGATAAAGTCCTTATATGTCCGATCTGCCTATTTTTGGACATCAAAAGACAATACGATCGTTTTAAGGTCAATTTCGTCTACCTCACACAATCTTGTTAGGCACTATAATGAAATGGACCTGAAATTTATTTCACATGTTTCCTGAAAATTGATAAATATCAAAGCAACATAGAGCTGTTTGTTCTAGTTCGTATAATGACAATTTAATGTCATGTTTGTTTGTGATGACCCCCCTTTTCGGGATTGCATCAGAATTATAGTTATCTCGTATCGCATGAGGATGACACATGTCAACTGAGCAATTATGTTTGGGACTTAGTTTTAAGAAATGACGTCAAAGTAACATTATGAAAATATTTTTAGTAAGCTGAAATATATATTTATTTTTTACATGTTTATGTCTTGTAAGATATTTTATTTCTGTCCCGTTTTTCAACATTTGCGTCTGGAAAGTTGAAATGTTTTAACTGAATGGTTAATTTAAATTAATTATGAAAATGGTTAAAATTAAATCAATAAAGGAAATTATTGCCCAGTTACAAACACTACCAGGGGATAATCCATAACATGTTGTCTCCTTGTGAAATATAAAACATATTTAAAATGATTTCCTGCTAAAGTCTTATATTGATATAAAGTTAAAACCGTCTTGCTTCTCACTAGTCAACACTCCTGTCCTGTCAGGTTTAATTCTTATATATATGGATGAAAAATAAAAGTCCACAAAACATTAACATGGCAGCAATTGCTTTTACAGCCTTTAAGACTTTGATTTTTTTTACAGAAGAGTGTCCACCATGCACTTGCATTACACTATAACAATAGTAGAATAGTATGATATACAAATAGATGAAAATTATATATACATGCAACCGTAATATTAACATAATATATAACAACAAACCAGTGTATTCTTTGGAACTATTATTATATTAGTATAATAGTCTAAGGTATACTGATTTGTATCACTACACTATAATAGTTATTACGGTGAGGTTGAATTTCCTGTCATTTATTCATCATCCAAGCACGAACTTGTATAAGAAAAAAAAAATCTCTGTAAATTAACCTCAGTTTCAGGTATAGAGATGTGATCTGTTTCTGTGACATGTGCTTTTGACCATCCACAAGAACCTGCGGTCATCCGATGTTCAGTACTTCAGTACTTTGATTTCACATTATAAGTATGACAAACTTTTTCGACCATAAGTACATGATTGTGAACAGCTGGAAACTTTTTGTTCCATACATGCATGATAAAAATGTTCTTAATATGAATAAAAAGCAACCCAACTACAAAAGAAACCTAATGACAGTTAGAAGTCAATGGGGTCAAAGCTGATATCAAATTTGTACATTATGATAAAAAATTTATTTTACTGAAAAAACTTAATTTATTTTTATTTTATTTATATTTTGATGAAAAAACTTTAGAAATATATATTTATTATTTATGTTTGATTATATTTAATTTTTTAAAGTGAAGGTGGGGATTATGTTTAAAGTGCTGAAAGGTAATTGTTGAGATGAACTTCAGAGGATTAAAAAATGGCTGACAGTGCCAACTTTTCAAAATACTGGGAGTACTTTACTAGCTGTTACCTATCTGGTTAATTTGTTTTGACTTATTCTTTAACGACACCTACTTGTTGAAGGTCAGGGGTGGGATTATAAGTCGTGAAGTTTAGGGAGGGATTATAAGTCTAATCCCCAATTAATTGCATGTATATTTTAGTGGCTGTAATACCATTATAAATGCTAAATAGGTGGAGCATTGGGCTAAGATGATTAAGCAATACCTAAGGTGTTTTGCCAGTAACGATGGGGTTATATGAATGTCAAATTTCTGATACAGAAGTTAAGTCTTATATAATCTGCATAGAAATTCCAAATTCTCAACCACATATTTAATACAAACACGTTCATTCATTAATGAGTTGCAATAATAGCATTTGATATTTGGAAAATGTTGTCCGAAAAGGTGAGGATATTTTATGCATTCATAAGTTAACAATTGGTCAAGTGGTCAATTTTGTTAAAATTGTATCAACAGCTATTTGAAATTGACAGGTATTTATACCAAATATGAATATGACGGAGTCCATTGAATCTGTTGTAAAATTTGCAGAATCAAACTTCTTTTCATGTGAGATTTGGGAGAGCATAAATAAATGCTATAGGACCAATTTTTCTAAGAGATCCTTTAGGTATTGGTAGAAAGAATGAATGTTGATTTGACAGCACAAGCAGTGGCGGATCCAGGGGGTTCTGGGGGTTGAAACCCCCCCTTTTTTTTGACGATCAATGCTTTTGAATGGGGACATATGGTTGGAACCCCCCTTTTAAAAATGGCTGGATCCGCCCCTGGCACAAGTTAATTAAGCAATGCTAATTTTAGACAGAAAGCCACTGATTTGTCAGTACAATTATCATTTGTTTATTTTCAGGTGTTAGATGTAGATAAAATAGGGGAAAAGCTTCAAATCTCAGACAATAAGGCACAGAGTAATGGGCACTGTACTACATGTGACACAAATCTACAACACTTGAAGCAAGAGGCCCTGGCAATGGTCCAGTGTATACAGCAGGCCCAAAGTGAAGGTCCAAAGTCTGTCATTAGACCTCCAAACACATATGCAAGGTAAGTAATATGTTTGGTGTTTCTTGAAAAAAAAAAAAGAGTCTAGTGTACACAGCAGAGCAAATCAGAATATCCCCTCTTCTTTTCCATAATGGACTTTAAAGGTTTAAAAGTCATAATTAAGGCCCAAATAGACGATTACGACTAACTGATATTTTGCTAGGTAAGTTGTTTAAAATATGCTTATGTAAACAGGAGGCCTCTGTTATGGTCTAGTATATTCTGCTGGCCCAAAATAAAAGTATTGAAGATCCAAAGCGCAGAATTTCATCATGTAATATGTTTGATGGGTCTATTTGGTGAGATAAATCAAAGGTTACAAATGGAGGTCACAGGCCCCAAAACTGACTTAAAACTCCATTCTTTGAATCATATTGAAGGTATTTTAGATTGATAAAAAGAATGCTTATTAACATAAAAGGATAAATTTAGTGAAAGAAAGGACCTATCATAATGATTCAACTCATTGAAATTCTGGATTCTGCATGCAAAAGACTTTACATCTTTGAAATCTTTTGAAACAATTGACGTAATAAGACTTCAGACATATATCTACTTGAATGAAAGAACAGATAAAAATTGTTAGAAAATAAATAAAAGAACTATCAAAGAAAACAAAAAGAGATAAAAAAAAGTAACAATCATCACCTTTTTGCATACATATATGTTATTGTTTTGATAACAGCAATGTTGATGAAAAAGCTAACTATTGATTGAAAAAACTAGTGGCCACTTCATTTAAAGACTCTGCACCACTTAAAATCTATATGAGATCTTAATGTGAGCATTTGGGTGTGTTTGATTTGTTTTATCAATAGGTACACTAAGGGAGGAACTTTTTCTTTTTTTTGAGGTCATAGAGGGCAAATTAATGTTATAAAATAATCGAGATACATGAACAAGAATGGGATGTATCATTGATAAGTCCTTTTCCTGGCATTGACTGTGAAGAAAAAACAACTATACATAAGAAAGTTGATTCAAAAGGGGCACCTGGGCATTCCACTCAAAATGTTTGATTTATTTATGAAAAATCTGAAGAAAAAAATTCCTTGAATCCTCACCATTTCATCCTTTTACCCCCTTATCTCAAAAAAACTGGATCTGCACCTGAAATGCCTTCCTAATACAATACACTTCCTCTTTATGTCCCACTTCCTTGTCCACCCTCTCAATAAAAAAACAAGTTTCTCTATAGGTGGTATAAGTTTGACCTATGACTAAGACAATAGAGACAGGTGTGATACCTAGGTGTTATATCTGAGGATGTACACAACCATTAATACTCATTCCCTTCCCCTTCCTCTATGTTTACCAATTCCCCTGTCCACTCTCTTATAATAACCAAGTTTCTGTATAAGGTGGTAGATGTTTGACCTATGAATAGGTGTTAAACCTGATGATGTACACCTACATTAATACTCATTGCCTTCCCCTTCCTCTCTGCTTTCCCATCACCTATCGACCCTCTTAAAAAAATCAAGCTTCTCTATAAGGTGGTAGATGTTTGACCTATGACTAAGACAATGCAGACAGGTGTGATACTTAGGTGTTAAACCTGAGGATGTACACAGATGGTTTTGCGATCACCGTCTTATCTTTTAATTCTGCACCACTGCGTCTATAGATGATGCACCAGGAGATAATTTGTTTTTAAGTTTTCTGCACTTTGTCTATCGCTAGGGAGAAGATGATTTCTGAAGTGATCTTACCGATATTTTGTTTATATTTCATCATAAAACTAAATTGAATTTATTTATCCATGGCCATATTGCATGTGATTATGTACATTTTCTTGTTTAAGATTCTTTTCTTGTTTAATTTAGCATTCTTGAACAACTTATACAATTTTTTTTTTAAACTGGAATGCTTAATTTGTGTTTTCTGAAAAGTATCTTCTTTTCAATGCCTTCAATTGCTTGAATAATCTGTTTATTTATACTGTTTAACTTTGCTTTTCTTAAAGATCAAACGGTTCGGTATTAAAATGGTTCAGTCGTTCTTAAGTATAAGTATTTCTATAGGTAAAAGGTATATATTTTGTTAATTTCATATATACACTTATCGATGAAAAATTAAAAGGTAACAGTTTTGTAATTAGCCTATTCAACAATAGTGTTAAATAGCTCTGGACAATTACGCCGTTAGATTTAGTGCCAATTCTTTATAATAACCGCTATTTTATTCCAGGGGTGTTCATTTCCTTATGAAATATTATATGGACATCAAACAAAATTATAACAATGAAAGTAGACGACAGATATTCGGGGGTCGCATTGTAGAAACTGTTGCGTTATTTCTCATGAATTAGCTGTGAATGAAATCCATGACCAAAAGATGATCTATATCTCTATCTTGTCACCAAAAAATCACAAGGTTGAGAAATCATCTCAAATGTATACATGCTTTTTGACGCTTTTTGTTTGAAACAAGTTTTGTAATTTCGTTGAGATTATTTTTGCACTGGATTTTATTTATCCTGTTGGATTTTTAATTTTCCGACTTTCACAGGTATGTGTGATGAATATCACCTTTATTTAATTGAAATGTAGTTAGACATTGACATACCAAAGGCAAATAAAAATTAATTGTATGTTAATGAAAAGACCTGTACATGATGACCTGACTTTTCATTTGGAAACCAAGCCAAAAACAGGTACAGTTCATCTTCACAGTTTTCAATTTGTGGTTTATTTTTCAGTGAAGCAAAATATTTATGTATGAAATGTTTCTTAGAATCCGCTGTGATCAGTAAGTGAGGGTTGGTAATTGATTGCCAAGTAATTACATTAATTTAAGAAAAAAAGTAAAAAGAATTTGATTAATGTATTGAAAAATGAAAAGAATTTCACAAGATAAGAAATGAAACAAAGATTTTTATTTTTTCCATAGACTTTTAAATATGATTTACATTATGAAAGTGTTAATCATCAAAATCATTTCTGGTAAGGAGAATAGCATCCTTCAGTTGATTTCAATTTCATAAAAACTTATTTCTATATTTGTTGAAATCAAAATTAAAGAATATTGAAAATGTAGTAACACTAATAAATGAAAGAATCTTTATTGATTTTATTTTCTAAATCTGTATATGGAAACTCAATCAGAGAGAAACTATGAATTGTAATTAAATTGCAACTATGAATTGTAATTAAATTGCAATGATAGTCAGTATCAGCATTGGAAATGTTTGTGGCATTTAGTATTCTTTTGGCACAATATCAGAAAATTTCTTGTACAAAATTCTAATGGACTATTATTTTAATAGCATTTGAAGTAAGCACGATTTTACCTAACTCTGAAATGGGGCGTTTTTATTCTCAAACTATAAAATGGCATGTCTGTAAAATTAAAGGAAGAAGGTTTATTGTGCAATTAAAATTTGGTTAAAAACCTTTGGGTCCTTAAAGGAAATAGTTTTATTATTGATCAGTCTATTATGTCTTTAGACATAGTATAAAAAGAGAAGTCGCAATAACAATTTATAATTATTTTCTAAGTCAAACTTCAAAAGAGTAATTAAAGAAATATTTATGAGGTTAAATGTCAACACATCGAATTCCATGCCCAGTAATATATATTGCGGATATTCATTTTTATAACACTTTTAAATTTCAAAATGCTAATATTTGTTTTAATTAAATGTCTAAGCATTTTCGTCATTGAGTCTTTGAACAGTGTTTTATGTGTCTGTTTCCACATAGAAATTCCTCGTTTATTAGAATTAAATGACATAAAAGTTCTTCCTCTGTGTACTCTTGACGTTTACCTGAATTATGTGTCATGGAGGTGTGATGTTATGCTACTTCTATAAAATTTATTAAAATTGGTCAGATAGACCTTAGTTCAAACACTCTGCCGTGTACTTTTCTATTTTAAGCCGGTGTGTCTTTAAAGGGGAAATTTCTGTTGCTGCCACAATGCATTTATATATAAATGTCAGCAGCCTAGTTTTTGTGACATCTAAAAACATTGGTAATATTTTACCTTCTCAGGGTCAAGATCTGAAAATTTGATAAACCCTACACTTAAATTTGAGTATTAAACTGTCTATATAAAATACTTAAAACATCATAGTATTACAACAATTTTACATACTTCAAATAAAATCTAAATTAAGATTTCATAAAACATATTGTTGTTCAAGGCAGTATTTTGATAAGATATTGCCAATTTTGTATGGTTTACTAAAATTTTGCAATCAAAGTTCCTCTTTAATCAAAATTTAAATGATTTGTATCCGAAAGACTATATATAGTTTTAAAATTTGCCAAAATCTATCAGATGTTAGTTTTGAACTTTCTAATTTAGTCATATGTTTTTAATGAGGCATTATATATATAGTTAGAACCTCAAAAGTATACACTTGAAGCTCTGATTGTAAAAAAATTACTCAAAACAGCCATGGTGTGAAATAAATAAAGGGGAAATTGGCCTGTCTCTCTGCTTATTATGCTATTGCATTATTAGTTTATTTTTACATTGATACTAATCACAACAAAAACAATACTCTAAGATAGTGCATTGATAAATTGCAGAAACTTGTATAAGGGGGGATAACTCTAAATATTATCAGCATACCACTGCTGAAACAGCAGATTGCTAACCTAGAGTCCAGAAGTTGGATCATGATTACAGGTAAAAACTTTTGCCAGGTGTTTCCTAGACAAGATAGGAATGTGTTATTGCTCAGACATTGTCACATACATGTACTATAAATGTTGATTTATTTCAAGCTGTTCATTATTGCAGGTTTACGAGGTGATATTTTAGTAATTCTATTTGGATTGTAGGAAAGGATTTCATTTAATATTTTAAATGCATTTGAAATTTCCTTAGATCAACATTTAAAAGCTAGTTGTTAAATAGTCCTCTTTTCCAGGTGTTATTTTTATTCAATGCAGAAATATTTTAAACGTGGAAAATTAAATCGTCAAGTTCTTTGATCTGGTTTAATTTGCGTTGTCTTCTTTTAACTGTGCAAAATTTTTAAATGCAACTTCTATGAAATGGAACACTTAAAAAAATCGTTAAACAGAGAAATTTTTTATTTTATTGAAATTATATAAGCGATATACTTTTGTTATCATGCCTATACCTTGGGTGTTTTGGTACGAAAGGAAATTGAACTTCATTGTTTAAGTAATTAGTCACATTTCATATACAGCTGTTAATTTTCACAAATTAATGGATTTCAATTCTTTACCATTACAATTCCTGTCAGAGGTCTTCCATTTTTACCAATTATCTTCAATTAAGCCTTGACATAGGATCATTTATTGCATTTTATAATACATACAATGATATTGTATTTTATGTATGCAATATTCAATATTCACCCATTCTATGATCGGCTATCATTGTTAACATTATTTTGTCATATTTCTTTGATCCAAAATCTTTAAACTTTTCATATAGATTTTAATTGCATTTAATATCTTTCATTTTTTTTATGGAATTATATCTTTTCATCTATATTTGTTATTTATTCAAATATTTAAAAAAAAAAAAAAACAAAGTAAGTTATGTCTTGAAGCTGTTACAATTCAAGCTTGACTGAAATGTCTATATTCTATTACTATGGTATTCTCACCAAAGACAAACAGATGCTTCAGAATTAAAGCATTATGGGAAAATTTTAACCTTAAGTATCTTTCGATAAAATCCTTGAAAACTTTTACTTGGGATCACTATTATCAGAAAATTGTTTCTGATTAAAATATTTTGATTTAAAAGCTAGGCAAAGAAAGGTAAAAAACTGTTATTTTGCCAAGAAAAAAAATCAAATGAAAGGGCAAACATTATTACTCCCTGCCTATCAATGAGGCCCTTGTCTGTCTGTGTGTCCAAAAAATATTTTGGTCATACATTTCTCAGGTACTATCAACAAAATGACTTCATGTTTGGTCAACCACTTGACAGTGTTGAGATGTAAGAGGTGTGAGAACTTATTGGAACTGTCTGTCAAACACCTATTTCCTGTTTGCAGATAATTTGAAATTTTCAATATGCCGAATAGAAACTTAAAATCTGTCTTCGCACTTTTCTCAAGTACTACTGAACTGACTGACTTCCTTTAATTACAAGTGGGGGTGTGCTTGCTAAGAATGACAATGCATGCGTTCTTGTTTTTTTAATGCATTTATATTTTCCTTTCAAGAAGTTTAAAAATTTAGCAGATTGTACTTGTCTGAGGACATCATTAGATTTGCCAAAACCAGCAATGTATACATTTAACAAATTGATGAGTAAACTTTTTGCTGAAAAATAAGAGTATGAAATAATAAATGTTAACAAAAAAAATGGCTTTCTGTCTAAGTTTTAATGTGAGGAAGATTTTTTCACAAAAGAATCTTTTCTAGGGAATGTTGGGAAGCACACTGAAAGTTAACTGGAGGTGCTAATTAGGAACCCTTTTTAAGTGCAATTCTTTTCTGTATTTTACAACTTGTATTCATATCAGATTTCGTTCTATATTTGCAGGTACACCAAAAGTAAAAGTCAGCCGTTGCCAGCCAATGGTCAACCTACCCATCCTAATCAAGCCTGGAAGTCTGTTCAGGTAAGGAAACTGACCGTGCTAGACCCTCACGGGTAGTCAAGGTCGTTAAACACCCACTAGTAGGTAAGGAAAAGTCCCATTTGTTCCGTAATCATGTATGTAAATCTATTCAAAACGAGAATTTACTGTCCCATTTAAGAAAAGAAATTGGTAAAATTTAGATTTATGCGGCTAGTAAATATTGGATAAAACTGTGGTTGGATTGTAGATTGTCTGGATGTATACAGAAAACCTATACGTCGAGATGTTTTTATTGAATTTATTCAGTAAATACTCTTACAATTTTTACCAGAGCTAAGAAGTTCTTAAGAGTTGATTGATGTAAAAAGCTAAAAAGTTGTTAGGTTGTTTTTGAGAAATTCTTATTAAGCCAACGATCATAGATAGAAATGATCTAAAGGAAACTGGAATTTATGTTTTTATTTAATGCTTTTTAATATTTTTGGAATGATGCTTTACTTTTGGAAGAATGATTCACAAATATGTCTTGTTAATCAGATTGCAGTGAGCATGATTTTTATTCTGAGTTGGAAAACGGTGAGGTTTTATGTTCTGAAAGCAACAAACAGTATCTAAGAGGTTTAAATGTTCCAAGAGCGAAAAACAGTATCTGAGGTCTAATGTTCCAAGAACAGTATCAGGATTTTTTTGTTCCAAGAGCAAAAAGTTTTAGCTTTTAGTTCCAAGAGCAAAATCAGTATTTTATGTTCTGAGACCAAAACTGGTATCTGATGTTTTATGTTCTGAGGGTGAAAACAGTAAGGTTTTATGCTCTGAGAGCAAAAAAATGGCACAATAGCTGAGGTCTTATGTTCAGTGAGCAAAAACATATGTGAGGTTTTATGTTTCGAGAACAAAAACATATCTGAGGTTTTATGTTTGGAGAGCAAAAACAGTATTTGAGGTTTTATGTTCGGAGAGCAAAATCAGTATCTGATGTTTTATGTGCTGACGTTGAAAGCAGTAAGGTTTCATGTTCTGAGAGCAAAAACCCTGCACAGTATCTGAATGCTTATGTTCAGAGGGTGAAAGCAGTATACATGTATTAGGTTTTATATTCTGAGGGTAAAAATAGTATTCAAGGATATAAAAATCTAAATCTGAGGAATATCTAGGATAAAGGATAGAATAAGTAAAAGACATACATTATATATACACTGAGTTGGTGGTGCTTAACATTTAATAGCTCAAAGTATTATTAAAATAACATTTAAAGAAGAATGTGATGAAAGCAAAATACCACAAGAAATATTTTAATGTTCCTTTTTTTCCTAGAGAAGCATTATGGCAAATATTAATTTCATATATTTTTTGCCAAAATCACTTCAGAAGACAATTTTGTTTGAAGCATATAATGTGTGACCACTTTTCTCTGTAATATTCTCTTTATGTGAATTACATGTTTTTTGATAAAATTACATGTTATGGGGACCGAAAAACTTCCAAATCAAACACAGAAAAAAATAAATCAATTGAAGTTTTAGACATCAAACAAAAACGTGAATATTGCAGGATGTCATTACAAACACAGTGTAGAATTAAGATACTATTACCACTCAAAAAAAATCATAAATTTTATTATAATTGGGTTATATGTAAAATTATTACATAATATCGTTGAGTTACAGCTGACAGTTGGGAAGGATCACATCTGATGCCTGGAAATTATTGCTTTTCATTTTTGTGAAACTTTATAAATGTAGGAATTAAGATACTTAATTAAAACTTTTTTAAATGATACAGATATAATGCAATGATTTTGATAAAGCCTTTCGAAAAAAGAAATAAATTTTCTTTGTTTAAGTGTAAAAAATTTTATAATAATTATTCAAATGCTGTCAAATTTCATACAATGGAACCTTTGATATCTGAAGAACGAATGACAGCTTTTGGAAAAACTTCAAATCTGTATAAAAGCAAATTTAAACATCAAACGTTTTGAAAAGTGAGTCCATGTTATGTTATGTTCAAATTACAAAGAAATTAGATGAACAAATATAGTTAATGATTGTGGACTATTTGAAAAAAGGGGGATGGGGACATGCATGCACATGTGTTGATCAGATATAAGCTTGGAAACAACAATATATCAAAATGTTTGTATTGCTGTTGTTCATCTTATTACTTACAGATCATTTTAACATTTTGCCTGTGTATAGGAGCACATGGTTCTTTCATTTGTGTATGATGTTATCACACTTTGGTATACCTTTTTCAAAATATTACCCAGAAAGCATTAAGTTCAGAGACAGGGAATTTAGGTGCAGTGCATGGTTAGGAAAATAAGCTGATTGAATAGGACACCTTTTCAAGCTACAATATAAGTTTATGATACAAAATCTAAGATGAAATCAGATAAAATTTTCCCATTGTCACAACTTTTGCTGTTATAAGTATGCACAAGAAATAAGATGATAATTTTATCGATACATGTCAGATTTTGTTAATTAAAATAATTGTCAATTTTTTATTGATTCACCTTAAACAGTTAAAATAATTGATGCTATCAAGTTAGATTAACAATGCCTTGTTGTTTTTTTTTCTTTACTTTTTTTTGAGGGGGGGTTTCAAGACTTGAAATGCCATAAAAAGATATGCTAATAAATTGCATTTATGATTGTAATTGTTAAGGATTTCCTTAGTTATTTTATCGTGAGGGGGTTTAGAACAATAGCGTGTGTGTCACATCAGTAAAAGACTTTACATAAAGTATGATTGTCGTTTAATATTGCCACTTGCATGCTTTGCAACTCGTCACAAAGCTTTCATTAGTTGATCAAGACCAGTGAAATGTTACGGGATCACTGCACATGCAGGCGTAATTGGTATTTTTAAGGAGGAAATTGTCAGCGTTAATCAGTATTTATAATCTTGCTGAAGTATGCTTGAACCAGGTGTCAACTCATGCTTCTTTAACCATCAACAAAGAAGTGTCAACGTTGCTTCAACCTAAAATAATGATGTAAAACACTGGACAATGGTCAAACGACAACTGGACATTGGTCAGACAATGATATTTGTAATAGCTTAGTGGTCTTTTTTCAGTGCTTTTAATAGTATTCTTGACTGTTCATTAGCAACAGTAATTTATTTTTTTCCGATTGAATTTTAGTCTTGGAAGAAGAAAATTGTATGCAGAGTTCTTGATGAAATTTCCTTCTTTTCAAAATGTTTCTGAAATGTATCAAGTTTTCTGTCAGATAGGCAAAATGAATAGGAGAAAAAAGAAAAAAAAAACTTAGCAAATTGGAAATTTTTAGAAATAAAACTTTAAATGGAATACTTTGAAAGAGCTTTTAAATTATTTTTTTCTTTCGTACAAAAATTAATGCTTCAGGCATTAAAGCTTTTATTTTCTGTAAAATTCAAGATTGCAAACAATTAAATTGAATCTGTGAAATGTATAATAATATTATCTAACCAAATTCATGTATTTTTTATAATTCAGTTCTGAACAAATTTGATTATTTCTGGTTGACTTAAAAATCATTAAAATTAAACAATGTATTGATAGAAGACAATCTTTGATATTTTAGAATTTATTGGATCAGTTCGGATGTTCTTTCTTATTGCTTTATTTTCAGTCGTGAATTTTATAATAGATTTGTGGAAATCAATTTTCCACTTCGAATGTATCAGTCAGAGCCACGATGATCTGCTCTACCAAGCATATTTTACTTCTGTGGTGATTGCACGCGTCCTATAAGATGTAAACTAGTGATAAAAAATAATATCATGATCAAAAGTTCAAAACAATATTCCTTCACTATGAGATAGATTTAGTACTTTAAAAGAAATGGATGCCTGCAGATAAGCCTCCTTGATGAGTCGGGAAGTTTAATAGATAAATCTATTGGAATAGGTAAAAAGTAGCGACTTGTTTGGACAAATTAATCTAATAAGAGAAGTAAACACTGGTTTTGATAAATTAGCCGGAGCCTGGGGACAAAAACTGTCAAATTGTTGAACAAATCACCAGGTGGTTGAAGAAAATGGATTGTTTTCTTTAAGCATGTGTTTGGACAGCAAACTCATTTCTGAAGGCTATGCTTAATTTGCCATGAAAAATTAATGTATTAATTGATCATCTTAGAATGTGATCTGCCAAGATGTACATTCATTTTATGATCTAAGAACATGTGTTGCAAGGACATTGTAAAAAAAGTTTATAGAGAATTAATTGAACTTGGGAGATGAATCATTTATTATTTGGACATAAACTCATAAGGAATGTTGGACGGTTATAAGAAATAGTTTGAGTTTTCTGTGCAGTTTGGTTATTACTGAATTTTATGGTGTTCACACAATTATATTTGTTCATATACTGATTCATGGGTAGAAAAGTTTTCATTGATAAAAATTTTATGGGACATAGTTTAGACTATCCTACTGTATTCATAGGAAGTCGTAAATGGAACAGTCTATATATTACGAGGACTAAAATACAACAGCAGTACTAAGGTTACTTGGTAAAATGGGATTCAAAGGAATTGAAAATGACAGATTTTAATTGACGGTGATAGTTTATTTTGCAATTGGGATATGTTCTTTAAGTGATTACTTGAAAAGTTTTTGTTTTCGTACTTTTAAGTGATTGAACAAATAAAGACATTAATGAATGGATAGTAAATGCTGGAATATTGAGGTAGGCTGTTGTTAAATTTACATATTTCATATCAATATTTTATCTGCTATTAGTTTTGCTATCTTAGGAAAATCCAGAATAGTACTAATGAATTGTTTTTATCTATAATGCAAGCTCATCTAGAATAAATGCTATTGTAGGGCTCTCTGGAAAAATTTTAATGTAATTTTAAATCCTTTTAGAGAAAAGTGGTTGCAAAATTCTAATTCAAGGTGCATAGTATACATTTTAATGTACTTTACAGTCCTTTTAGGGAAAGGTGGTTGCAAAATTTTAATTTAAGGTGAAAAATACAACTACCCGTAATGTGAAAAAGAAATCTAATGCTATGCAGGAAATTACAAAAAACAGTTATGTTTTGTTGACCTTAGGAGGTCAGATTAAATGAAGCAATTGGAACCTCTGTGATTACAGAATCCGGAGGTCCTAGCAAAACAAGATTATGCTAATAGGTACTGTTTTTACACAGAAAATTGATTATAGAAAAAAGATGATGAAAATTACTTTTCGTATGTAGTTTCTAATATTTTGGCACATGAGTGACTTAGCGTAAAATTGTGGACAAAATAGTAGTATATTTTGGCAAAGTGGATGTTTTTATATATGTTGGCATTTGGATTAAATGTAAAAATAGTGGTCTGACTAGTAATATATCTTGGCAGGGTGAATGTTTATATTTACTGACCTCACAAGTTGTAATTTCTGACAGTGATTAAACAGGGAATAATTAGTATTGTTACACTCTCTGGGGGTGAATAATATATAATTATATCATGGGGAGGGGAAACAGTCCACATGGGGATAAACCCTATAATTAAATGTTTTCTACCTGCTTAGAAAATCACAGGGTAGGAATTTGTTTTTTTCTTTCTAGGGCAAGATCTCACCGTGATAAAACAAGGAAAAAATTCTTCAAAACTGTTGTATCGTAATTCAGGGGTGTAATTACTTAATATATAGCATGACTTCGATTCCTTTGTCTGACTAGCGGGTGGTTGTCTGATTTCAATATTCATAAAATTCCTTTCATTAATAAAATATTCTTTGAAAGATTGATTATCAGTTTCGAGTTTCTTTCATGTTTGTGATATGGATTGCCTAATCTTATTAGTATAAGTGAGATAATTATGTACATTTTACATGTTGATTACATAGTGTTAGATAATACAGTCTGTGTACAGGTGTTATTATCATATGGTGATAGTAATGAAAAACAATAGGGTCATAACACATATCTGTACTTTTACTTACAGATAGGAATGTTTATTAGAACAAAGAAATGGATTTTTGGAATGAGTTGAAATCAAGCATATTTATTGGAAATAAGGAATGGATTTTTTTCTTAGTTAAAATTCTAGGAATTTTTCCAATATAAAAGACAGGATTTTAGATAAGTTAAAAGTTCAAGAATTTTTATCAAAGGAATGGATTTTTTTGGAATAGTTGGAATTTGTAGGTTTCTATTGGAATAAAGGAATGAATTGTTGGAGTTAGATGAAATTTGTGCATTTTGTGATCAGCGTAGGATTATTTTGTGCAATATCAGACTTTTCTTTCAGATTATTGAAAAAATTTAAGAATAGGACTTGTGACATACAGCTAAATTATGATATCTTCATATTTTAGACAAATTATACCTTAATTGGTAATTTATTTAGTGAAATTTTCTTTGAATATTTTATCCAGACTAGAGCACTCGGACAGTCGGAGATGGAATATTTTTATTCTTATTTTACAGGTAAATTAGACTTTTGTAGTTTAATGACTGTCTTATAAAACATGTACCCAAATCTCCTTTCAGTCATATTTTGAAGTTACATAATGCTTATCCAAATACATTACAAGTAAAAAAAGAAAATGCATTAATAATCTCCAAATAGTTACCTTATAAAGGAAATTTTACATTTCACGTAAGCCTTTTGACTTTTGCTTTGAAAGACTGGAATATTGCAATGGGACAAAGTGTAAAATTTAACGAAGACTTGAAAAAAATTATAAAATTTTACTTAAACAGCATTTAGATGATTTCTTAGTTTTTGCTTTATTGCCTTCTCTGGTTGCGGTCTTATTTATTTATACCCCACATGTCCTTTAATTGATAAAGAAAGCTTCAAGTATCGGAGAGAACTCTAAATATATCCCACACTTCCACTTGATCAGAAAATATTGGATTGGGACGTAGACGAAACTCAAAATAGATGGAAATTAGAAAATGAAAATTAAAGTGATACATGGGATTATTATGACTATGACAGTCATGTTTAATAATGTTATACGTATGATTTATTAGGGACAAGAGAAATGTGTGCCCCATCAATATATATCATAGATGAAGGTCAAAACCATATTGGTTAAAGTCTGGGGAATTTATACTGTACTGGCCAATATGTCAATATCACACAATGATGCAGACCAGAGAATCGCTATCGGAATGTACTTACAAAAAATTTGAATTTCAAATTTATTGGAATCAGAGATTTTGATGTGGAGAAAAGTTTCTTCTAGTATCGATAGGCATCTTCTTGGAGTATAAAGAATTTCTGTATGGAATATAAAAGATTGGAATTGACTTATCTGTGATCTTGTTACACATTTGCATATTCCCAATGGACATTAGAAGTTTCACTGGATTTTGAACCTTATCAGTTCGTTATAGAATTGTGTCAGATAATGTAAGGTTTTTATGTGAGGAAATTAAGAGGTTGGTTTATTCAAAGTATATGTAATGGAGCTTTAAAAGTCATATTACATAAAAAGAGCAGATTTTTGAATTGATCGGTTCATAACTTTATGAGTTTTTGCCTTTTGTAAGAAGTTTATAATTTCATAGTTCCATACAATTGTAAAGTACACTGTATTTACACCATTAATCAGAGATGTGTTAACTAAATGTCTTGCCTCCAGTAAGTTTAATTTAAATTATGTCAAGAGCTATTTAAACTAAATATTTTAATGAGGTTTCTTCCCTTAAAGGAGGAAGGGTATAATATTTGTTTATAAAAATTATTTGAAATGTATGAAATTTTACAGAATTTTGTTAATTGTTGGATTAAATTTTTTATCTTTCAATGGGGGAACACTTCTGATTTTCGTGAACTGTATGGTAGATGGCTACTGTTATAGGACCATTAGTACTTAACCCTTAGAATTCTATAGTTATATTAGCCAATTATGCATTGTTTTTGTGTAGGCTGAAGAATTATCATTTTAATTTGTATTCAAAATTACATTTGAAGTAAGTCATTAGAACTATTTAGTTTTGCATGTTAAAACAATGATGATGAATTAGGAACAACCCACAGTCTACATGCATGTACAATCTATCGACAATTCCTTGTTTAATTTTGATGAAATGCTGAATTTTTATACCACGTACACCCCTACAGTATATTACCATACTTAATTGTCTGTAAAATACATTGACTTGTAGAAAGACCAAATTAGAGGTTATTGTCTGTATATATTTGTATAGATATATATTTAGTTTTGTAAAAGTTCATCGAAGTCATATAACGCTCACTGATGCTTAGTAAAAAGGTTTTTTCTGCCTATAAATGCTGACTTTTATAGTGGATGGATTTAGATAGCTGGGGAACAGCACATTGACGACAATAACAGTTGTTATTTATGTGAAAGGAATGAGCCAAAGATTTTTAATACAGACTTCTTCTACATTCGTTTCTTAAAGAAGAAACGGTGTACTTGAAGAACTGGTTTATGGTACATATAATATATGTGAATGTGTCAGAATTGAACTATTATATTTCGTTGGAAGTTTGTTTTGGCCAATATCGTAACTTGACAAGATATTATCACTCCGTTGAAAAACATTTGAGCATACCATATATGGTGGTAAGAACTACTTCAATACTAGTATATCCTTAGCCAGAACTTTTCTTTTGAGTATGCTATTATGAGTTGTCATTGTCGTCGTTCTATTATTTCCACCTGATCAAATGGAGTAGCTTTGATACTAAGTTCATAGAATTTGATAAAATGAAATTATGGCAGTAAATGAGAGTGGAAATGTATTAAGAGAGACATTAATATGAAACTGCATAAATTTTTGGAAAAGGGATTTTGGAAACTTGTGGCAGTTAGTAAAGGACTTTCTTCATAGAGGGGCAATATAACTAGGGACATTGTAAGTTAATCAGATATGACATTAGCGGTTAGTATAATTACTTCATTTATTTATTAAATTATTATTTTTTTATATATTGCAGAACAATAACCACATCTACGAAGAACCAAACATGAACGTGGATCAACAACATAGTGGATTAAATTATGGACATGTGGATATGTTAAATAATTATTCTGTGACTGGAATACCTTCTTACATGAGGAACCAGTATTATTCACAGCCTCCAAACTTACCTCCGCCAAATCCGGGAATGTCAACTAATATACCTCACTACAACCAGCAAAATTTTAATCAAGCAATGGGAACGCCATCAAGTGTTCCGCAATACAACCAACAACATTTTAATCAAACAATGGGATCACCATCAAATATCCCTCAATACAACCAGCCAAACTTTAATCAAGCAATGGGATCGCCATCAAATGTTTCTCAATACAACCAGCCAAACTTAAATCAGGCCATGGGATCACCATCAAATGTTCCTCATTACAACCAGCCAAACTATAATCAAGCAATGGGATCACCTCAATACGGTCAACATCAACAGATAGGTTCGCCAAACATGCCTCAGTTCAATCAACAAATGGGTTCTCCTCAAAATTTACCTTCCTTTAATCAACGAATTGGTTCTCCGCCCCCAGGATCATATCAGCGCATGATGTCACCTCCACCAGGATATTCTTCAAGGATGTCATCACCGCCACCATCAGCAGCTGCGTCCTTTTTTGCCAGGTAAGAATTGATAAATTATTTCATACTTGTGTTCAATGATAGAGCAGCATTATTTAAAAAAGATGCTAAACTCTAGGTCAGTTTCATTTTGATCTTTGAATATATTACATCAATCAAGAAATGGACTTTTTTCTGATTCATTTTTATCCCCACACTAGTGATGGGTGTGTATTTTATACCCCATCACCCACTTACAAAAGTAGAGGGCATTATGTTTTCCAGTATGTGCATGCATCATGCATACATCTGTTTGTCAGTCTCATATCAGGTTCAAGTTTTGGATTAAGAAGTTTGTCGTTCACACATATTCTCGTATCTACTGTGTTCTCTCATAAGTTAATGAATTGATTTCCCTGAAATAATTTACAAATTTTCCAGCTCAAATTGGCATTGTTCATCTAAGTTGTTGATTGAAATGATTTTAATGGATTTTGCATAGAAAACAAGGATTTTGTAGGGAAGTAGGTGTGTGAATTTTGTTCCGAGTTCAAAGTTAGTCTTGTTTATTGCAAAATTTGAGAAGTTCGCTTAAGTTACAAAAAAATCAGTGGATTTTAAAGTATAATTATGTAATTGAAATGAAATTTATGGACTGCTGCATCTTATAACTGAGTTCTTCAACATCTTGTCTCAAGTTTGTGCACCTGAGAAGCTGTTTCATATGAAAGTTACACCAGTTTAATTTGTATGAGGAGTAAAACTTAACATTTATTCTAGTTATATGGATAATAAACATATTTATTTGAGTTTTATATTAATAAAACCTGACATATACTGTCCAAATAATAGCCCAATTTTTTTGCTAATAAATTCTTAATATTTTATGTAACAACATTTCTGAAGCTAATTTCAGATGGGAAATTATAGTTTGGTTTTAAAAACATTTGACATTTAAGTTAGTATTTTGCCAACTTTTGTTGTTTTTTTCTTCCTAATTTTGTGGTGTAAATTATTCATTGAACATATTAGCGAAATGTTATTATTAATAGGAAATGATTGACTGGCGATAACACCAATAGTACAGGAACCACACAAGGGAGATAATACACTATATCAACTGTATTAACTGCTGCTGCATTACTTTTATAAAACAAAACATCGTCAGAAAATATTTTTGAATCTAATTACAGCATTAACCTGGCGCATACCATTTGCAGGGGGTTCTTCTCTCCAACTCCTGAAAATAAAAAAAACTATTCTAAAATTTGTGATTCTGATCATTCAGATTGATGTTTGAGCACCATGACCCCAAATAACCCTGCTTAGAGACATCCTGAATAAGAGCCTGGACCATTCATGTTTCAATTACTTTTTCAAGTGGTCATTTGTGTTTACATTGTTACAAATACCTTTTAAAATCCAGTGTGTAGTAAAGAGAGTTAAGAGACTGAAGTAAATGTTAGATGTCTGTTTTGGCTTTCTTTGTGTTGTAAGGTTGCTGTCAGATGTATGATCAATATCTACATTAAGTCATTTCTAGAAAAAGTTACAAGAATCAGGCACTTATGATTAAATCATTTTGATATCAACAGCTAATAACAGTTTCAAAAAATAGTTTAATTTGAATTGACTGGAAATCGGTTAATCTTGATTGGTTTATTTTTTATTCAAATGTTTAGCAATTATTGGAATCGTTTTATATCATTGTTTTTTTACCAAATAATTCTCTTTATACCAAATGAATTAATTGCACATTAAGATGAAAAGACAAATTTCATATTTGAGAATTATAGTATTTCTTGCTTTGTTTGAAGCAAATGGACAATTAGAGACCAAGATGCTCAAATTGATACTTGTCAACATATGAAAGTAGCGTCACTGGTCTGTATCCCTACCCACATGTCGTAATTAATATATCATTCCATGTCAAGGTATCGGTCCATTCCTTTGTTCATAATCAATTAATTTAATTATTTTCTTTGTTGATCGTAATCAGATGTGTTGTAACTAAAAATTGAATTTTCATAATGAAGTCAAAACCAGGGATTTTGTGACAGGCACTGATAGTTCTGCCTAATTAACCTGTTGATTTGTCCCTCGGGGAGGAGGGTTGAAGTGACTCACGATTTTAATTTTATTCAATGGAAAAGATTTGTTAAAATATCGTTATTTTATTCTATTGTTTTTATGTTTACAATGGCATTAGTTTTTGCTTCGGGGCAAAATGTGTTTGTTATGATTATAGACCAATTTTCTGTAATTATCTACTTTTTAAAAAAAATCAATTAATCGACAAAAGTCGTACAATTTTTTTGACAGATAGTGGAAAAGAATAAAATAAGTCTGGATAGTTGAAATAAATGCTTCCATGATATGGTAGTCTCTGATAAGTTTATCTTTCATTTTTGATTACACCACAAAATTAATTAACTGGAAAATTCAAAATGTTTCAGCTTTGTGCACTGTCATTAACATGTTCAGAAGTTGTTACACCGTGTAGTTCATTTAGTTCTATGAAATATTTTTGCAATTCATAAGAAATGATGAAGTATTCACTAGAAGGCATTGGTTAAAGTTTTTTTTTAATGTCAAATGCATTTGAAGAATAGATTACCGTTTGTTGACAATTATTTTTTCTGTCATGGAAAATTGCCTAGTGGATTATCATTGACAAACTGAAATTAGTTTTATTAAAGAGTTATTTCCCCTTAAAATAGGAAGCTAACTGTTGTTGGTCACATACCTCCATAAATTGTCTTCTAAAGACCCAACTTTCCTGGATATATCTGTAGGAAGCCTCTGATAAAAGTTGAGCACAATAAATGTGTCTTATGGATTAACAGTTATCATCCTTTCTTTTTGTAAAGTTGCAGGATTACCTGAGGGTCTGGATGGGTTTACAGAATAGTGAGAAAAAGACCAATTCAATAAAAAAATGGGGGTAAAAAAATTAAAGAAAAATAGGGTGTTAAAACATAGAGAAGAGAATGGGGGGGGGGGGGGATTCTATAGAAAAGAGAAAAATTACCTGAAAAATTAAAGACTACAGAAATGAAGGACCCCATCCAGAATTTTGAGAACTATTGAGTTGGGTTGGGACTTCTGATGACCCTTTCTGACAGTCAATCATAGTTTACAAAACATCAAATTTTATTACTCTGGTTCATTTGGGAAAAGCTTCTTATTTGAAACTTTCAAGAGTTCAAACCAACTCAACTTGAGTGACCCTAAGGTCATTGGTAGTAAAAGATGTAGTAGGTGATTGCAGTATAAGCATTTCAGACTCATGGAAACAGTAAGTTTTGGAAAGCATGATTGCCGGGTGAGCAATAACCTATAAGTTTTGAAAGAAGCTTAACATTTTTGTTTCCCATATGATATTGCAGTCTCCAGAGAAAAGAAATTATATTTATCTGCAAATTAAGAGTAAATTTGTTTAAGCTCATTTCTTTGAAGTCTGTAATTAACAAACATTTGTTATTACCTAATGCCCCGATTGAACTTTTAGTCCCCAGATTAGAAAGCTAGTGACATTACAGTGATTTATTACAAAAGAATTTCATTTAACAACTGTTCCTTATAAATTTAATGATTAATTCAAATGTTTCATACATAAAACAGATGTTGCTTGGGATTTCACAAAATGTATAGTTAGTAATCGCTAAAAGAAGATTTTTGACATATTTATTTCCAATTAAGAAAACGTGGTCCAAATTTTCAAAATGTCCCTGAAATTAATACTGAATGGTCTGATACTTAAGAAATGTAATTAATTTTACTTTTAATTAAATTTGGCAGGTTTTGTATATCACAAAAGTGATTATTATGTCAAAAGGTGTTTACAAAAGACCCTTGAAATAAACATGACAGAACGTACCTGCAGGTCTTACGTTTGACAAAGAACATTTTAATAACAAAGATGATATCAGATTTTAATGGAAGCAGTTTAATCCAATAGTTATTGTGATGGTTTATCTGCCATTGTACAATGTCAATCTATGTTGACACGCGTGGATTTACCTAGGGTGCTAATGGGCCTGCGGATAACTTGTTAAACCAGCTCTTGATCACTTCGCAACCTGAAATATAAACTGATCTATTCATAAATTAGTTATTAGTTTTGCATTGGAAACTGTATCTATCCATAGGAAAGTCCCACAATTAGTTTTCCAAGCTGTTGTACATTTCTTTTGTTTACCGGTAGATCAAAGCTTACTCATAGGAATTTTTTTCATTTGATATTATTCATTTTCTATTCCTGGATAATGAGCAATGGGAAGATAGAAAAGTTCTCCTTTATGTTACTGATGAAAGTCTTTTTTTCTAAAACTTTCTTGAAGAAAATTAATCTTGACAATTATATCTTTAAACAAAGAGTAGTCATCAATGGCTATTAAAAGTCTCCACTTGAAATAGATTTTTTGCAAGACTTTTTTTAAGCACTTTGCATTGAAAAATGTCTTTGGGTTATTTTCAAGACTCTTCCCGTTGCAAATTACACCAAAACTTGTGCAGGTGTTAACTATTTTTTGGCTGATTGATTCTAAGTGAGGAAGTTCTTTTTAGTTTTTTTCAATTTATTGTGTTGAAAAGTAAAAATGACTGAAGGGGAACTCTGGTAGATATAAGATGACAGAAGAACTGTTGGTTTCATCTGAGATTAGTATTTATTGATTTGAAATTCTTAAAAAGTGTTAAATTCAATATTGAAATGACCAATTTGAAGAAAAATGAGTTAACACCTGTGTCAGATAGGGTGTAAGACTGGTTTCCTAATTGCTCTTCCTTTTCATAGCAAAGAATTTTGTGGGTTTCATAGCAAAGAGATTAGTGAGAATGTTCTTTTCATTATGAAATCTGGTTTTTCATAGTTTGAGGGATATAAGAAATTTCATAGTTTTAGATTCTACAGTTCGAAAATCAGAGGAAATTATGCATTTTATGAATAAAATTTTTTTTTGGTTAACCATGAAATCTATAAAATTTTAATATTGGAATTTGGTTTTTGATTGAGGAATAAAAGTGTCATACTCCCACAGTAATCTTAGCTTGTTTGATTA